CAATGAGGATCCACAGCAGGCAGATAAATCCTGGACGGGTCAGCAGTTCATCACACATCTTTCACTCACACACTCTATGATACTTTAGGATTATCTAAAATACCCCCCCAAATGTGATGTGGGGAAGTCAGCCCTCCTTCATACAGCTTTAAAACCGACGCGCTGAAACCTCTCGTCCTCTTTTCAGCGGGTTCATAGGCCTGACAGGAGACACAATAATCCATATAGGATCCTTCAGGAAGCTGGTTAGCTAAAGATTTTTTTCATTGATCTGCCATCAGAGCAGAGTCCTGAGGTTGGTGTAATAGAGCAACTGAGAGCCTTTTTTTAAATATTGTGCAACCACATGCTAGGGGTTGCCATTTTCTGAGTCTTAAAACCCATTGTCTTGAGATTTGTAGTCCACCTCCCCTTTAGGTCAAATGAAAAAAATCCACCATTTTGTGAGATTCACAAAATCTAACCCCCAACTGGGTTAGATGAACATAGTTTTGCTGCTGTGCTACAATGCTGTATTGTTGATACATTTATAAACACCAGTGTAAGCTGAATGAATTTATGTTTTTAACTGGACCTATTATTGCTCATCATATCTGCATATATTTTTGAACAGACATTATTTGATGTATTGACATTTTGCCTACCTTCAAGACTCCCCAGAGACCATAATAGCTCTGCTGACAGCCCCAGCCTTAGTCACTAAATTGGTGGGGATAACTGGTCCAGAGGCCAACCAGAGTGTGAGAGGGCAAAAATCCTGGTTGGTAGGCAGATTACTAAGAATATTCAATTGGTTTTATCTTGATTTTGAATGATTTGTCAATACAAATCCCAGTTCTAGTTAATCATATATTCATATTCTACAGGTAAACTATAGTAACAGTCTTCAGGAGAAACAACTTGGATTTTATATTTCGTCATGAAAAGCAGAAAAAGTAAAAGTTAGAGAAACTGATTGTGTACTGTACTCAGCTTAAGCCCTGGAGAAAATTGTTTTATTGTAGTGAGAATTTGAATAACACATGCAAACTCACAATTAAGAATCTCTTTGATCGAGTCAAAAATGCAGAATTTCAGTAAAAATAAAAATCAGAGGTACATACAACTTCTGAAGTATCTCAGTGATGTGATTTCACGAAAGGAAAACTTGGTGTCTACAAACAAGTTTTGTAAATAAACAAGATAAAAAGAAGGAATAAATTCAGACTTACAATGTTATTTAAATATATGATATATATATCATTTATATTTATAAGGGTAAAATGATGAAAATATATTTTTATAACTGCCTGACTTCCTCACCTTAAGAGCTGTTTGTTATTTCCTGATAGGGGGTTGATAAAAGGAGTTTCATAAAGAGACATTTGCATCCTCCTTCCCGCTGATAACAGACCTTATTCTCATCTGCAGCTGATGGGAATTTACCAGTGATATGAATTTCCTGATATTCATAAACTTTGTGTGTAACACACAGATGTCAGCATTTGAATTGTAAAACATTAAATTTCACAAACTTAGTTTTACTCTATGATGTTTTTTAAACTAAACAACAAAACATCTCACCATTAGAATCAATAAAATTTAACTTCATCTGTTAAAATACATACATATAACTCAATATGGTTTACTCACAGTATGATGTAAAATTCTGCTTTGTTTTTAATAACTTCAGATTTCAGAATTAATGAAGCATGTTTTGTGCTGAATCTACTTCACAGAATGTTGTTCATTGATTTGCTAATATGATTCAGTAACCAAATAATCAAAAACTATAAAAAAAATAATAACAATAATAACTTGTTTGTACCAAATCATCTACTCTTGTAAAGGAGATGTAAATTTTTATGCAATATTTTGTTAACACTAACTGGAATTCAGATAATTATCTGTGTAAAACTATTGTATTACAGAGGTTATTAATTTAAAAACTGTAAAAAAAAAAAAAAACAATTAATAAAAGATATGATATGTCAGAAGGTGAAGAGGGAGAAGACAGGAAGGGTAGTGGAAAGTACTAAGCGGGAGAGACACTTGGTGTGAACAAATGGGAATAAAAAGAGGAAGCAACAGTTGTTGCTGCCAGAAGATCAGGAAGGGATCGTCAGGCGCCTAGACGACTCGATTATCCTGAACTTCCTCCAATTGCAGTGGTGGAGTTATAGTATATCAGTCCTTAGCTTAACTTTAACCTAAAGACTACCTAGGCACCACACTTCTAAGGGGTTCACAAAAAAGATAAAATGCTGATAATGTATAGTTTAAGTGTCCTGACTGATTGGCACAATCAGATAAGACACTCAAGCCAAGGTGGACATGCTTGCTGTGATAAATGCTGTCCAACAAGTGCTGCAGCTGTATGCTTTCCAACAATCCTCTGGTTAACAAGACTTAGGCCCCGTCCACACGAAGTCAAAACGAACACGAAACGCTAATATTTTCCATAACGTTTGTCGTAAAGACGGAGACGTAAAATAAATGTGATTGTCCACACGAATGCATGAAAACGCTGCAAAATGTATGCCTGGCCTGTAAGTGGCGCTGTGGTGCCAAAGCAAAAATAGGCGACGAAATGTTGGGCATGCGCACTAATATTTATACATGATTGCTCTGCGGGTCCATTTTCGTGGTTCAGTCAAACTCAGGTGCTGAACTATGTCGTCGATATTGCTCTGTTCTTCCTGGAGATATTCCAGAAGAAGAAGATTCTGTTGTAAGCCCGACAGCAGGGTGAGTAGCATGAGCAGCAACCATTCAACACAGTACGGCGCCATTGTTGTTGTGATACTGTGTCGCGCATGCGTGTTTAGAGGCGGCGCTATGACGCATGCGTGTAAAAAAAAAAATGCGGTTAGAGCTCAAAGATGGAAACGCGAAAACGGCGTTTCAAAATCTTCCCACTCTGAAGGCTGAATAAAAAAAAAGATCGTTTACAGACCCCCGAAACGCTGGCTTCGTGTGGATGAGAGGCTGGTTCGGTGAAAAATTTGTGCGTTTAGGCCAGGGTTCGGCTTATACTGTAGACACAGCACACCTCACAGAGCCGAACACAGATACATTTTTCCTTAAGGTGTAATCCGTGCAACACCAAAAAACCTTCAAATGTTTTTGTTTTTTTTGCTAATTATGTGTAACTTGTGTTGTTTTTTTGTTCTTGTTTAGAAGGCTGTAATCCTAATAGGAAAGACAACTTGCATATGCATGTTTTTCATTTGATGGCATCCATAAGAATGAAGAATATCTGGATTTATGCTAAAGGGCCTGTACTTATATAGCGCTATTCAAAGTCAGGAGACTTTATCAAAGC